TTAGATTGTAAATGGCTATTAAAGGAGTTCCATAATGAATTACTATGGTTGTACCAAGTACAGTATTTTCCAAAAAATACATTGCACTAGGTCAAAATTGAGAGTTGAGATAAAAAGAAGTCGTAATAAGTCACATTGTATTATTACAATTAAATATAAATGTAAAATATTGGTTAATAAAACAAAACATACAACAAATTATTTCAATTTAACGGTATTCATAACAGAAATTACAAAAATACAATAGAAAACAAACATAAATTATAAATGTATTATAAACGCCAAGCCAACAATAATTTAAGCAAAACTGAAACTACAGATGTGTTGGAAATGCACTACACAAATAAACTTATAAATAAATGAACACCAACACAAATGTGTCACTTTCCACGTCTTGCTAGTTTGCTAGTTTCATTTGCTTGTTGTTTTGCCTTTTTTTGATTATTCTTTTGTTGTTATCATCTAAGGTTAAGCTGGCCTCTGACTAGGCACTGACTGTTTGAAAGAAATGTTGATCCAGGAACACGTCCTATTTATATAAATCATGTTGGTAATGTATCTGGAACTAGAGTCTCCAAGAATCCTTTACAAGCGTCACCTGATTCTTAAAGAGTGCTGAAGACGTCCTGCAGGAGGAAGTGGAATCTGCAGCGGTGGCACTGACAGAAGCAGATATTTATTTGGGTGCAGAGAGAATACGCATATATTTATGAATCCTCACCATCTCAAAATTGCTGTCGTTGATGTATTAGCATGCCCTCACCCTGTCATTGAGGAGTGCACCACAATGATTACTGTCACTCAGAGCCATCTGGGACGGATGTGTGCATGAGCCGTAATTTTGCAGACACCCTATTAATTCCTAACAACTGCCGTACACTTTCTTTTCCCGTTTGATGCTAATATTTTAGAGATATTGGACAGTTTTATGTATGTAGTCCTGATACACTCAGCAGTTTCCAAGAGCCTGAAAGCGGTACAATTTAGGAATTGTCACACTCAGAATTAAAATATACTGCGTTGGCTTTCTGTGTGATTCTGAAGCACTGAGAGTACATACAGCAAAATCCTAAACACTGTTCACTCATTTTGAAACTTACTCTGCCATTCAAAAGTTTAGTAAGACTCTGTAAGATTTTTAAATGGTTTTGAAAAAGTCTCTTATGCTCACCAAGGCTGTATTTAACCAGAAATACAATAAAAACAGACATATTATTACAATTTAAAATTGTTTGTATAAAAATATTTTGTGTGTGTGTGTGTGTGTGTGTATAAAGGTAAAACTTTAATACATATTTAATATTAAATATTTATTTTAATAAGTGGTTATTTTATTTATTTATTTAATGTAATTTACTTCAGTCGTCAGTGTCATGATCCTTTAGAAATCATTTTAATATGATGATTTGCTGCTCAAGAAACATTTATTATTATTATCAATGCTGAAAACAGTTGTGCTGCTGCCTAATATTTATTATGTAAACATTTTTTCAGGATTCTCTGATGAATAGAAAAAAGAACATTGTTTATTTGAAATAGAAATCTTCTGTAACACTATAAATGTCTTTCTTGTCACTTTAGATAAATGTAATGCATCTTCTCTAAATAAAAGTATTATTTTCTATTAGAAAAAAATGTTCCTGACTCCAAACTTTTGAGAGGTGGTATATATGCTGTCTAAATGTGAGAGCAAAAAAGAGCTGTTTAACAGATGACCTCAAACACAACGAATGAAAGAAAGATAGAGAGAGAGAGTAAAAGCTTTGTTGATGAAAACAATCATGGAAGAGAGTAAGATAACTATGATGGCAAAGCTAAAAGGTCAACCTTAAGCACAAATACAACATGACCATGAAAGTTGGCTGTTTAGTGTAAATCCTGCAAACAAGGACAGGTTAAATACATCAAAAGAGCAAAAACTTAAAAGCACCTCCAAAAGCACAATACAAATTTGTACTTCATTTACTGCAGCAACTGAAAAAAGAAAGCTGGCACTTTCCCAGACACTCCTATCAAGCATCAGTATGCAGTGTGTGTTCACTCACAGTGGACTGGGGTCTGCTGATGTCCTCAGGGTCCAATGAAATGACATCCAGGGGTGGGGTGAGGGCGGGGTCACTGCTGCTTCGCACCGATAGAGGAGTGGCTGATGGAGGAAAAGTCAAAGGACACAGTTATACATCTAAAACACAATCATTCTGCATTTTAAAACCTATGTAAAACATAATGATTTAGACACTGAAAAGTCACTGTAGCAATACCATCATACATGACATTATCATATAGCACTAAAAATTATTTTAGCACCATTGAGATACTATCATAGGTTTCGTTAATATTTTTAATTAGATTGTATTAATATTTTCCATTTTAAAATTGTGTTTTCATCATTTTATTAGCCTTTTTAAATGTCTTTTTTTTTTAATTAAGATTAAGTTTTAGTTTGTTATTTTAGTACTTTTTGAAGTAAACGAAAACGAGAAATGTTGCCTTTATGCCTTGGCATAAATAATATTTTTTTATATAATTTTTTATATAATAACACACATACACACATACATACATATATACATACATATATATATATATATATATATATATATGCACATATACTTTTTTTTTTTTTTTAAAAAAAAGACTAGTCCATTTGATCTTGGTTCCATTTTAAGAATTCATTTTAATGTAGCATAGTTAATAAAATGTGAATTTTGTAGCATTTTATTTGCTTATTTATCCATGCATTCCTTCATTTGTTAATTTTGAACTTCTGTATAAAATAAGTACATTTGAGCAGTTACTTTTATGTCTCATTTTGCATTATTTATTTTGATCTTTTCAGACAGACAAGTGCTGTTACACTAGTTGAACATCACCAAGAGTGTTTTCCTTTTCAGACACACAATGGATCATAATAAAAATCACACTGAACTCACCACATGAAAGCACACCAATACAGCCTCACACAACACAAACACAAAGACATCTGACAGAGTCAGAGCAGCTTTCCACACACACACACACTCATTAGTCCCGCCAAACCATGTCTCCCATCACACACATTTGTCTGGTTTCCAAAAGAGGGACAAAAGCCAAAGTGCTGGAGCCATCGCTAGACTCAGCAGAAACAGCTACGGGAACAGGATGATAGGAGCATCAAAATCAGCTCAGTCTTTTACAGGAACAAAATAAAACCGCGGAAAAATGCAATGAGGGAGTTTTATATCAGGACCGTACAATAGAATGTCCTTGGCCTCCATACTGAAGGGGATCTCCAAGACCTTCTGAGATAAAGCAGGAGACACTGTGACATCTCAAGGATCTGAAGTACACAACTGTGTGGAGCGCTGGCATGGTGGCAAGGTCACTGCTGGTGAAACGGTTAAAGGAGCCAAATCATGAGAAACAGGGTTTTCTATCACAAGGAAAACGATGCTATGTATCATCTATATATACGAAGCTAAGAAATATGGGAAATATATAAGCAGCAAAAATGACTAATTCAGAAACAGTGACCACACTAATGAGCATATGACCGTCCTACATTTACATATGAACAACTATGCAGTATTGAGCAATTTCATCCACCATAATGAACGTCAATGTATACTATGTCATTGAAAGGTTAGCCATTTACACTAGGATGTTTTTTTAATCACATTGTATGTCATTGACCTATTTGTGTACAAGTGCTCTTAAAAAATATAAGCAAAATTTCTGCCAATTTCACAACAGGTCTGTACACACAAATTCTTCCCCCCATTCTTTATTAGTTGCATTTAGCCATTTTTAATAAATACTACTCTGAATGCAATAAATAAATAAACAGTCAAAATTAAAAGGATATTGCTTCCATAAATTGCAAGAAACCTGTAGTGCTAAATATGTTTTTAGAGTAGTAACAGGGTGTACACGTTTACATATTAAGGTTTGAGGACAGTGAAAAGTGCTTTTTCTTCTTTTTTAATCAACAAGGATGCAATAAATTTATCTAAAGTAGCAGTAAAGACATTCATAATGTTCAAAAGAAAATTTAAAATAATGTTCAATAGATGCTGTCCTTTTGAACTTTATATTCAACAAATCCTGAAAAACTTATCCGTTTGCACAAAGACAAAGCTTCACAACTGTTTGCAGCATTGATAATAATAATAATAATAATAATAATAATAATAATGTGTTTCTTGTTGCAAGAAACCTGTAGTGCTAAATATGTTTTTAGAGTAGTAACAGGGTGTACACGTTTACATATTAAGGTTTGAGGACAGTGAAAAGTGCTTTTTCTTCTTTTTTAATCAACAAGGATGCAATAAATTTATCTAAAGTAGCAGTAAAGACATTCATAATGTTCAAAAGAAAATTTAAAATAATGTTCAATAGATGCTGTCCTTTTGAACTTTATATTCAACAAATCCTGAAAAACTTATCCGTTTGCACATAAAGACATAAAGCTTCACAACTGTTTGCAGCATTGATAATAATAATAATAATAATAATAATAATGTGTTTCTTTAGCATCAAATCAGCATATTAGAATGATTTCTGAAGGATCATGTGACTCTGAAGACTGGAGCAATAATGCTGAAAATTCAGCTTTGCATCACAGGAATAAATTACATTTTAAAATATATTCATATAGTAAACCAATATTTTAAATTATAAAAAATTAACAATATTTTTGATCAAATAAACAGTCTTAGTGAGCATAAAAGACTTTCAAAAATATAAAAAATAAAAATAAAATAAAAACTTATCAACAACACTTTACTATGTGCTGTATATATACATATGTTTTAAAATACAGTACCGTGCAGATTTAAAGTAGCTTCCTTAACGCTGATGAGAGCTAGTTATCTTGCATGAACTGGTGAAAGCGACAGAACATAATACTGAGGACTTCTGCAAGCCTCAATTAACAGAAAGAGCAAGTCTGCCCCTGAAAAGATACAGAAAAAAAGCACAGAGAGAACCAAAAAATTCAAGCACAGTGCTTGAAAAAAAGTTACCATTTTCCCTTGTCAAACAGACACTTCCATCAGCAAAGACTGCTCCTATCCTTCAGTCTGCTACTAGAAATCATCAAAAAGGCCTTTCGGTATGATCACACTAGCATAGAAACTCTGATTCAGGTGAAGTCGCTGTGTCCCGGGAGTCATTTTAATAAGGTACTGGGACCAAAAGCAAGCTTTAACACGTCTGCTACAGTAGCTACTTCATTAGGAAGGCATTGGTATTACTTTTTGAGAACTCACCAGGGCCATCTTAAAATGTAACTATTGAACTGTATTTCTCTGTATGTCAATGCTGATGTGCATATGAGACAAATAAGGCTAATGAAAGAGACCTAAACAGAAACCCAGACTCTTTTCAGGCCTGAGTTCATTTATGTAACAAAGTTTAGATAAATGTTCATCTTTTGAGTGGGCATACATCCTGACAGAGGGTTTAGTAACCATTATAACTTGACATAAACATCATATTTTAAAGGGGTCATATGATGAGATTTCAATTTTTCCTTTCTCTTTGGAGTGTTACAAGCTCTTGGTGCATAAAGAAGATTTGTAAAGTTGCAAAGACTAAAGTCTCAAATCCAAAGAGATATTCTTTATAAAAGTTAAGAGTCAGCCACACCTACCTAAAACGGCTCGTTCTAACACGCCCCCAC